GGTTTAGGGTTTAGGGTGTTCTGCTGAGGTCAGGGTTTCTTGCACAATTGCGACCCTGCCCAGCAGGCAGCCGTCATCGAAGCTTGACTTCGACACAGTTAGGGTTTAGGGCCTGACTTTGCATAGGGATAGTATACAAGTTCAGGGTTTAGGGCTTAGAGTTTCAGACTTTTAGGGTTTAGGTTTTTAGGATTTAGGGCGAGTGTCGGGTTTTCTCAAAGTATTCTGCTCTTGGGGATCATGGGGATATATCGGGGGTACAAGAGGATGACGGTGGTCCCTTTTCTAAGTTTTGTGGGGTACTCTATGTCCTTAAGGGTCCAAGGACCCAAATAATCTGGTTTTAGAGCCCAAATACCATGAATATTGTAGCATTTGGGCCCTAAAGTCTTGTTATTATTTGGGTCCTTGGACCCTTAGGGTTTAGCATAGGGAAATATCGCGAAAGGCGGGGATAGATTGTGGATATCGGATTCGGGGGTTCAGCTACATGTGACATGTAACGTGATGCTTTGTAATAGCTCGGTAGGTGCACTTTTGGGGGGGCGTGGGTCCTAGAAGCACGTGAGTAGTATGTTATTTGGGGGTATTATGGTACCCAATATAGGGTAAGATTATGTCCTCCTTTTGGGGTATAGTCTTTTATATAAGGAATATAATCTTACTAGGTTCAACCACAAAAAAACACTACTCAAATGTAGATGTATTTCGGCCTTAGGACGCAGCAACTGCGGCTTCGGTGGCCATTTTGGGATAAGAAGTTCCGCTAAGGCTACCCAGGGGGACCCGTTCATAAGCAGTTTTTTGGATCCCCTTTGTAAAGTACAAGCCATGTGAGCCGTAGTCTGAACTCCTAGTATCCCCCGAATAACCCCTATAATACTCGCCCATTTAATGCCCTATATACCCCCCAAACCCTAAATAAAGGGGGTGTATATCATCCCCTATATAGCCCCCATTTACGGAGTTTAAACTATAGCCCCTGTGATTGCGAGCTACACTACACCCCCTAAACCCTAAACCTGTGACGCGCCATGAGGACGCGATCTCCAAGGCCGCGTAGAGGAAGGCCAACAGCTCTGGCAAACGTCAAGCTGTTGATTTCCAGGACCCTCCTTGTACCCTTAGTTGGGGATATGTGGTCCCTAATAGTAGGTACTTAGGCCTTAATAGAGGGTAGGAGGAGGGTCTAGGTTCATGCCTTAGGCTGCTTTTCTTGGGACTGTTCTACAGTTGGAAGTTTAGGATCCTAAACCCTAAACCCTAAACCGTGGGTTTAGGGTTTAGGGCTTAGGGCTCAGGATTTCTAAGGTTCGAGGCATGGGTCCCTAGTATGGGACCTTAGGCCTTTTAGGGGGGATTCTAGGGACCTTTAAGGGTATATGAGCTACAGTC